TTTTTTTTTTTGCATGCACCCCGACCAAGGCCGGGGATCAAACCTACAACCCAGGTACATGCCCTTGACTGGTAATCGAACCCAAGACACTTTGGTGTGTGGGCCAACACTCTACCCGTTGGGCCACACCGGCCAGGGCCATTTATAGCACAATTGTAATTCAGACACTACATTTTCATTTGAAACTCCTTTTTCTGTATTTAGGTTTTTTCTAAAATTATGCTTGAAAAAAAAGGTTTATATACACCCAAATTGTTCCCACCTATGTAAAAATTTTTCAATAGCTGAATTGAATGCCAAAAACATTTTTCTTTAATAATCATGTGCGCTTAATAATCACATGCATTTAATAATCACATGCACTTAATAATCATGTGCACTTAATAATCACATGCACTTAATAATCACATGCACATTGACAAACAGGTTCCTTTTATTTTTATTTTATTTTTTTTCAGGTTACTCTTTTTAAAAAATATATCTTTATTGTTGAAAGTACCACAGGTGCCCCATTTTTTAACAGGTTCATTTTATTAGAAGAATTGAGTTGGGCTTAAAGCAAAAGCATATCATTTCTAAAACTATATCCAAGTTAAATAAAGTCACCAACTCTTGTGTTGACTTAGTACTATACTATCAAATTAAAAAGAGTGTTGAATAAATTGAGAAGAAACTAAACTTATTAACATCAACCAAGTGTTCTTCAAATTTTTTCTTAGTTTTTGTAGCCCATTTGCTGTCTGTTACAATTAAAATCTTCTGCCTATTAAGTCATGTTATAAAAATATGTAAAATCCACCCTGGCCAGTTTTGCTCAGTGCTTAGAGCGTTGGCCCTCAGACTGAAGGGTCCTAGGTTTTATTCTGGGCAAGGGCATGTACCTGGGTTGCAGGTTCGATCCCTGGCCCCAGTCAGGGCACATGGAGGAAGCAACCAGTTGATGTTTCTCTTTCTCTCTCTCTCTCCCCCTTCCACTCTCTTTTAAAAGCAATGGAAAAAATATCCTCAGTTGAGGACTTAAAAAAATAAGTTAAAAAAAAATATGTTAAATCATTATTTTTGACTTGTATTATAAAGTTGGAACAGAAATTCTCACACCTGTCTGGCTGGGTCATAAATAAGGTCTTCTTTTCCCTTCCTCAGAGCTTTAAAATTAGCTTGTTCGTGGCAGTGTGAGAATTTCAGTGCCATTTTTAACCTTTGATTATTGAGAGAAACAATGAAATGTTGAAAATAATGATTTAGCAAGCATTCCTTTTATCTCAAGAAAACCTGAATGGGAGTGAACTGCACACTAAATCTTTGCAAAGCTCGTCCATCTGGCTGTCCTTAGCAAAGCACACGGCATCGTTAAACACGGTCTTCTGTTTCTTGCAACAGTTCTATACTGGTCAGTCATTGTAGCATTTGCCAGTGTAGACTGAGCCACTTTCACAGCTGTGTCCCTGATACTTTCCATGGAGTGGGCTTCAGAAAACTCGGTGCAGATGTTTCCAATACGTATCAGACAGTAGAACTGTAGTAACAGAAGAAACATCAGTCTTTTAAAATCCCAGTAAATCCAAATGTTAACCCAACCTAGCTGGACTACTGTTTGTCATGATAGGAACTGACTTTTTACATGTAGGTGAAACTCTTCTTTGACAGATGTAAAAGATTAAAAACTAGCTACACGCTGGGTTTGACATTTTTTAGGCTACAATTTGACAATGTTTTTTCATATATTTGTAACTACTTTGAGGGAAACATTAATTGGACAGCGTCTCTTACCTCATACCACTCATCTAAGGCTAAAAAAATATTTTAAAATTTTCGAGTTTTGAATGAACCCTTAATATTGTTAGAAATGTTTTGTACTTTATGGGCAATGGCTTAACTTGCTTAACTAAAATTTGTTCCCTTTTTTATAAAGTATATTTTTTAGTCTTTTCCTCAAAATAATTTCTTTTACCACATTTTTATCTAAAGTGATTTTCTTTTTTGTGTAGAATCCAAGCCATTTTATAGCTGACCAAAGTTACGAGCACAGATCCTATTAAACATTTGTTTACATTTTTTGTTGACTTTAATTAGGCTTTCAGCCACTAATTTCATTGATTCTTTTTTGACTGTTGAGGAAGGTGCTCATCAAATGCATTATGTATTTGCTGAAAATATCTTCTGTGCACAGCAAAGCTCGTTTTACTCTCCGCAACAAATTGCAGTTGTTTGCCACTCATTGTGAAGTTTGTGACATACCTTCTTCTAGTGCCTCCCCCCTACTGTTCTGGTTGTAGTTCTAGCTCCTGCATCCCTGTTTAATTCTGCTGCATCAATAATATGCCTTTATTTTAAATTTAAAAATGTCTACTTATTTTCTTAACTAGTTAAATAATCCTATTTTACTTTAGTTACCAATTATTTACCTAGCTGTCACTGTAACTCAGGCTGCCTGCGTAATAAACACATTATAGTGTTTCATAAGTGCATGGAAAAGCCCACACGGGCTGGACCGCTCTGTTGTCCCTGAGGGGGACAGTGACGAGTTCATGTGCACCCCTGGAAGCGACGATGCACCTGACGCCCGCGCTGGGTACAGCAGAAGTCGGAGGCCCTGCAGCGGTGACAGTGAAATGTCTTCCTGCCAAAACAGGGAAGTTGTGCTTAATGGACAAATATTTCACGGCGCTTCGTTTTTCAATTAAAATTAAGCTGAATTTAAAATTCAGTTTCCTGAGTCGCCGTGGCCATGTTTCAGGTGCTCAGGAGTGACGCGGGGCTAGTGGCCGCCCTGTTGGACAGCGCAGAGAATTAAACACTCAGTGGGTTGGAAATGTATTTGTTCCTTTGAGTTTAAGTAACTCACATCCTATCGTCTTTAACTTTATTTTAAATCTCAATTTTAAATTTCTTTTCATTGTTTCTGCCATTTGCTCAGAGACAGGTGGATTTTAACACAAGCTTAATAGTCACAGTTCTGTAGAAGGGGGAGCCCAGCTGAGGGAAGGCCTGTGAGTGTCCTTGGTTCCTCGGAGCTCTGATTCCTGGGTGGGGGGTCAGTGCAGAGCCAGGACCTAGGAGTCAGGGACTTGCATCCTGCCTGGGTCTTACTACCCGAGTGACCCAGGCCTGACCTATGAACTGGGATGCTGCCCCCCAGGGGGCCAACGGGAGAGTGGTGACTCCTTCCTAAGCCTGCTGTTTACCGAGTGCCTCGCCCAGAGCCTGGCTATCTTCTCTTGTGTCGTGTAATTTGGGGGGGGGGG